ATATATAGCAGTTCTCAAGTCAACAGCCATTGGAGCGGTTGCCCCGACGGAAGAACAGAGGGTGCTAAGAATCACTGGGTTCGGACAGGCTCCTTGCTTGGAGAAGAACGACTTTACCACCTTGAAAAGGAACAGGAAAATATTAAGTGCGACATAAAAGGAATTAGTGAAGCAAGAAGAAGAGGTGAAAACCTAGATCAACTGAAAAGTGGAAATATACTCTACACCAGGGGGAATGAAAACAGCCAAGGAGGAGTAGGATTCATTATACACCGGGACTTAAGTGCAAGCATCATCTGTTTCAAGAGTACATCTCCAAGAGTTGCACAAGTGAAAATCAAACTTTCAAATAAACACACATTGCTTATTATCCAAGAATATGCACCAACCTCAACACACCCCGATGACGAAGTCGACGATATGTATGAAGAATTAAAAAACATCTTAAATCAAGAGAAAACACACTACAAAATAATTATGAGGAATTTTAACGCCAAGGTAGGATCGAAGACTCACACCCAAGAAAATTCCATTGGAAGTTTTAGAATTGGAGAAAGAAATGAAAAGGGAGACAGATTAATAGAATTCACGGAAAGAAGAAACCTAAAGATCATGAACACGTTTTTCCAAAAGAAACCAAATCGAAAATGGACATGAAAAAGCCCCAACGGAGACACCAAAAATGAAATAGACTGTATCCTAGCCAGCAATCATGAAATTGTGAAAGACATTTCAGTCCTTGCACAGTTTGACACCGGAAGCGACCACCGTCTTGTTAGAGCTACAATTAAAGATCAATATGCGTCTGGAAAGGGCAAGATTAGTGCGAAAAAAGACACCACAACTAAACTTACAAAACCTTAAGGAAAAGGCAGAAAAATACCAAACAGCCCTGCAAAACAAGTTCGACGCTTTGCACGATGAGCTATAAGGAGTAGGCCTAGATGTAAATTGTCGATGTGAACAAATTACCAACACAATTACACAATGTGCATCAAAAGTAGCTGGTAAAAAGACTAGCAACAAAGTGGAAAAACTTTCAGAAGAAACACTCAAACTTTTAAAGAAGAGAAGGGAGATGAAAAAAAGATAACAAAAAACATCAGATAGAATATACAGAAACATGCAAAACCTTCAGAAAACGGATGAAAAATGAAATCCGCAAATACAACACAGAAACAATTCAGCAGACCATTAAAGAGCACAGAAGCCTCAAACGAGCAAAACGACAACTTAAACCTGGAAAATCCCAAATCATTGCACTGAAAACGAGTGATGGTAAATTAATAAATGACATGAACAAAATCATCTGCAGGGTGGAAGAATTCTACAAAGATCTATACTCCAGTAAAAAGAAACTAAGAAAACCAGAAAATCAGATTTCGGCAAAACGGAAGAAGAACCCGTCGCCGATATCACAAGAGATGAGGTCAAAAAAGCTCTGAAAGATATGAAAATAGGTAAAGCACCGAGGGAAGATGAAGTTCTTATTGAATATCTCAAAGAAAGAGGGGACATAGCTTGCAAACAACTTGCAGAACGTTTTACCATCTGCATAAAAAAAATAATAAAATTCCAGATAGCTGGAACAATGCCATCATTATATTAATTTAAGAATTACAAGAAAGGCGATATCACGGATTTGAAAAATTACATGCCCATCAGTCTTCTCTCAAATCTGTATAAGCTATTTTTAAAAACATTAACAAATCGTATTACTGGAATCCTGGACTTTAACCAGCCGCGTGAGCAGGCAGGATTCAGAAGTGGCTTTTCAACAACTGACCATCTTCATGTAATAAACCAGATTATACAAAAACAGAGAGAATACAGGCAGTCCTTGTACCTCGGGTTTATCGACTATGAGAAGGCCTTTGACAGTGTTGAAATCCCAGCAGTCCTTGAATCTTTAATCAACAAAGGTATACATCTATTCTACATAAATATAATTAACACAATATATAACCAAGGGACATCAACAATCAGATTACATGAAGATAGCAGCAAGATAACAATTTAAAGAGGAGTGAGACAAGGAGATACGATCTCACCCAAACTATTTAATGCTACACTGGGAGGAAATCTTCAAGAAGTTGGACTGGAGTAACAAAGGAATCGCCATAGACGGGCATTATTTCAATTATCTCCGCTTTGCGGATGTCATAGTGCTCATCACAGACAATACAGAGGATCTGCAAATAATGTTTCTAACCAACTAATCAAAGAAAGTAACAATATTGGATTAAAAATAAACAAGAAAAAGACGAAAATCATGCTCAATGTTTACGCGAAAGCTAAACCAATCAAAATCAATAAT